TCCTCTTGGTTCCCAATGTGCAGTGGCGAGGAGTACAACAGATACAGGAGCACATGGCAAAAGCTCGTGCAGAACGTGAAACCTCTAGAAGCTGAAAGGGGGAGCCCACTCCAGATGGGGGACTTGTCCCTTTGCAAGTTTTGGTTCGAAAGCTTGGTGCCGACCGCCTGCTGAGAAAAAGACCGACGCAACAACTTCTGAGGGGGACTAGGCGTGAAATTTTAATGGCTTTCGTGCCATCTCCGTTCAAGCCATGTATCGGGCCACACCGCCCGCAAATCTTAGCATCTTTTCAACTCACCTGTAAGCCCACTGTGAATTCGGGGGACAGCTTGAGCCTCAATTCGCTTTCGCTCCACCAATAGGCAATCCAAAACCTGCTCAATGAAGCGGGGGGAAACAGCATGTTTTTGGCCTAGCACCCCAATCCTTTGATAGAGTTCCCCGCCGATTCGGGCCCCAGCCTTAGTCTTGCTTCGCATTGCTTCGCATTGCTTCGCATTGCACGCGTGTTTGTTTTGTATTGCCATCGGTTGGGGGACTCTTTCCTTTTATGGCCCTACAATGTGAAGCCAAGCCTGGGGGGGCAAACCTTGACCCCAGACACAACAGTGCGGTACAAGGAAAAGTGTGCCGCAGTGCTTTGGGAGAGGAACCTTTAGTGAACCCCGAATTTTAACAAAGGAGGAATTGGCCTAATTCGTTTTGCTGCTGAGAGCCATTCAACAGCCGGCATCGAGTAAGAGAGCTAACCGGAGCCTTCTCGGAAGCCCTTTATTGCATTTGCTGGCCGATAGTGCGAAATCACAGGGCATGCGTGTGTGTACACGCATGTACATGGCGACCATCGAGTGAGACTATAATTAATAGATACCGCAGGAGGGTACGGCTCTCTGATGTTACCTTCCCCAACACAGTATGCATCAGAGATGAAGCCAAGCCTGAAGAGCTTGCTGCGCCTGCGAAAAAGCCAGCCCAAACACACAATTGGCTTTCTCTGATTCTGTATGGTTGCCGCAATCTGTCGTGTCGTTCGTGCCGAGCTGAAGTGTGTGACCTGCCCTCGTTCATGGGCTATGGGGGCCACTCCCATTTTCTTATTCACTTTTATTTTACTTGCAGGGGGCGGAGGGGCTGTGAAGGAGCTCCGCGCAACGAAGCTCCTCCAGACCCCGGCGTGGGCAACTACTGGGGGATACGTTTCATTTCCGTTCATCATTGAGAAAATGTGATACAACGGCGTCACGGTGCCGTGGTGGTCTCAATTGAGGCCTTCCTCGATCAAAGGGATCCGTTCAATTCCGCAATCGAGCGCTTTTGTTTCTTTCTTGCTTTCCCATCATGCGAGTCCCAAAGTCAGGTCGGTGTGTGCAGTTCGTCATGTGCACAGGACGGCATTTGCACCTGCTAGGGATCGTAATTCGCTTTGTCATGAGTAGGTATGAGCAGGTTATTTCCGGCTGGTTTGCCTCGCCTTCTTCTATTCCTTTCTCCACCCTATTCCGTTCTCGGCCTAGGAATGTGCAGTGCGCAGGTCCGCATATGCCTTTTCCACGGCAAAAGAGTCTACTTGCTGTTAAACCGGCAATGCACTGTAAAGGGATACTGCAGTAAAAGGCAATTGCAGCAAAGTGCTAACGCAACTGCCTTAAGCGCAAGTTGTTGGCTTCATTGTCGCGCCTTTTGTGCTGTGCTTTCGCAGTGATTTCAACGTTTTTTACCCGAACATCGCTCTAAGAATTAACGCAATTTGCTGAACAGATGACGTTGCCTGATTTAGAAGATGAAAAACTTCGGCAGCTTCTGAAGTCAGCACTTTGCACGGGTTTTTGGAAGAATATGAAATTCACAAAAAGGGCTAGGAAGAACAATCATTCGTTTGTTCTCTTATTCGCTTTCCCCTTGCTTGCAAGGGGGCGGAGGGGTTGTGAAGGAGCTCTGCCCAATGAAGGCTTCCTCCATGTATCCGCCCTAGGCCCCGGCGTGGGCAGCTGGGGGATACGTTTTCATTTCCGTTCATCATCCGTTTCATTTTCGTGCTATGTCACTCCCTTGTGTTTGGCGTAGCGAAGGGCAGAAACCATACCCTTTATAAGACGGATCATCTCATTCTGTTGTGTACGCCATTCCTTGTTTGTGGCATACTTGGAATCTTTCATCTCAGTTTAACCAACAGCATCCATGAGTGCCTTTGAGAAAGTGTGATGCAACGACTATCCGTCACGGTGCCGTGGTGGTCTCGATTGAGGCCTTCCGCGATGAAGGGGATCCGTTCAATCAATCGGGCGTTCTTGTTTCGTTGTTTCTCTCCGATTCTCTTCTTTCACCTATAAATTGAGAAGCGCGTATTATGCTCAACTAAAACCGGGTCCAGAGCTGGGGCAATCCTCCAGTGTTAATTTTGTGGTTTCTCTGGGCCAAACCTGGAGCTTTAGCAATCCGTACAACCGCGCGGGGCGGTGGGGCGGGGCGGGGCGGGGCGGAGAAGGGCGCGGCGCGAGGGCGGGGGCGAGTGGGCGGGGCAGAAGCGGTGGGCGGGGCGGGCGGGGTGGCGGAGGCCGTCGGCTACCTTGGGTAGCCATCGACGGCCTGACTCCCGCCCCGCCCGGCTTTGCCCCCCGTCCCGGTGCGCATCCAACCAGCCCCCAAACTAGGACAGTGTTAAGCATATCGGGGCCATCCAAACAAACGTATCCGACTAGGCGTGCACGGAAAACGCTTGATTCCCGCACCAACTCCCAAACAATAGGCGGGGACCGAAAAGTCGGGCGGTGTTGAGCATAACAGGAATCCTTCAAGTTATAGAGTATACAGCCTCCCGATCCGAGTCCCAAACTACTTCTATGAATGTTTGCTGAGCCTCATCATGTCCATTTTGTCGGGCATGTGTACAGTTCGTCGATTCGTCATGTGCACAGGACGGCATCTGCATCTTCTAGGAATCGGAATTATGACATTCCTTGTGTCTGGCATAGTTGGAATTCTTCATCTACGTTTCGTTACCACAATCATCACCAACATCACACAGCCAACCATGAGTGCGAACATTCTTCGAGAAAGCGTGTGTGCGTGCGTGTTCGACACTGCTGCCGCGGGCGTATGCAGACATGAGCGTCGCAGTTTGAGGTGCTGCTGCTGGTATTGATCCTTGCACCTGCAAATCGTCGACGGGTTGCCGCTTGCACTAGTAGGTAATGAGTGGTGGGTTTTGAATTCTCGTGCATCAAGACTAAGATGTTGATTCGTGTGTTTTTAAGGCACTCGGCGAAAGCAGCGGGTTGCCAAATGCCCAGACAGACGAATGGGAGCATGTTCGATGCCACGTGCTTCGTTTCAATGCTGTAGCGATCCTGGTCTGAGGCTTCCCACCGTCAAAGAAGTGCTGCTCGACCTGGCTTCCTTGGTGTATGAGCATGCGTGACTTCGAAATGCGCAGAGAAGGAGACGCCATGGTTGGGATTCAGACCCCACATTCGCTAAGAGCGCCAAAGACATGCCAATACATGCCATATTTCGGCCTCATGTGAGTTCGTGTACTTGTGTTGATAGCAGCTGATGATTTCTTCGGCTCGAGAAAGTCAAGAAGTGGCTGAAGCTTGGTAAGGTTGCTAACAGTGCAGAGATCTCTGTCCGAAAATGGACGTTTGGACACGCTATGCTCCCCACCACGCTGAAGCACACTCTTTGGTTCTTTTCGATATTCTGCTTATGTCGAGGTTATCAAGCTCAGGACGCCTTTGCTGAATGTCTTGCGTCTGCAGAGCACGAGATTAACAAGGCGCCGGACAAGTCGGACATGTTTGTCACGACGTCCCGTTTATACAAGTGGCATTTAGCCAGCTATTTCTGCAAGCTTCCAGTCCGCACCGTGGTCTTGGAGTTGGGAGTCTACCATGGGCATTCCACGGCTGTGTTGGCCGCCATTTTTCAGCAAGTAATTGCCGTGGATATCAACGAGGCATACTTGAAAATAGCTGCGAGTAATCCCCGGAATCATTCCAACATAGCCTTCCTCGCTGTTGACTTGATGGCAGCAGGATGGCAGATGTTCGCAAGCAGTGGAGTTCAAGCCGTTGTTGTTGATGCCGATCACCGCTACGAGTATGTGCGTCAAGATGCTTACAACGCCTTGTCATATTTGCGAGAACTTGAATACGTGGTATTCGACGACTTTGGCCACGAGGTTGGTGTCCAGCGAACCGTACGTGAGCTCAAGAGGGACGGCGCCCTTGTGGACTGTCGTGGAATCGGTAACGGCTGGAATGGATCATGGTGGGAATACCAGAATTGGGATGAACAGACTGGTCAACAATTTACCAGTTGGACAAATGAGTCCGAAGGTATAATCTGCAGACGAGGCAACTTTTCGGCTTCGGGCTTGGCACCTGATTTTGTGGACCAGCGCTTCTATGTGTATAAGCAGCCATTGCAGCACTTTTGTCCCACTAGTATTCTGCGCCTTCTGCCTGGCCACAGGCTCGTTACCAGCTTGTGGGGGGATGGCATATGGAGAAAGGCTAATGATGGGCGAGACGCTCTTATGCTGGAGCTGCGGGGACTGTCGGACACACCCGTCGAACTCCTGTTTAACTCTGCGAGGTCAGCCTTTGTCTTATCACAGTTCGGGGAAGCGAGAACTGATTGGTTTGGCATCCGGGATCACTTCGTCTTCGAGCCTTTCCAGCGTGCAACACGGCTGTTCGACGAATGAAGGAGTCTCACGATTAACGCATGATTTGGTTTCTTTTGAAAATGCACTCGCTTCTCGCAAACTGGCCATACAATCACGCATGTATGCCGCAAGCGCGCTTGGTGAGTTCCTATTCAGCAGCAGTTTAGGCTCAGGCTTCCCGTGGACAGAATTGTATAGAACGCTGATAACGCAAGAGCTTCGTGTTGTCTCGGAGGCAGTGCGCTTCTCTTGAAACATTCCTGAGCGGGCTCTGTACCCGGGTTGTCAGCAGGTATCGGGCATGTCCTCGCCCAGCAACACTCCGGCCATGCCATCAGTCCCTGCAGGGGGCACACCATGGAGTCCTGTAGTTCAGTGCGCCGAAGACAGAAGTCTTCTGCTTGCGTTGCTCACCTCGTGCGGATCGTTTGTTGTTCGGCGAGGACTGGGCCCACCCCACTCCCTCACCATCGCTTATGGCCTTTAGCCGAGCTTTGTTTGGATCCTGAATGTCGATTTGGCATAAATTCAGTGCGCCAGGTTCGCATGCCAGATCCCAAAGCCTGGCAAGCTCCACATTTTGGTTCCACGTGGCCAACTTGCACATACCGTGGCAGCGTCATCTCCATGCAGCCGCAGCTCCGCTCTGGAGGCTCAATGGGAAATCCTTACCTGGAATGGACCAGAGCGAGTCGTCTCTCCGAACGCTCCTTTCTCAGGCTCGGGATTGTCTGACAGCATTTGTGACTGCTTGATCAGATTTGGCAGGTGTGCGCCCCCTTCGTGCAAGGAATGGTGTGGCCTGACGGCAAGTCTCGTCTCCAGTGCAATGCATCCAGAAGCCATCTGACTTAGACTTGCTTCCCCCTTTCGCACGTTTGCTTGTATCTGAAGCACTGATCCTCAAAGCCGTTGCAGATGCTGACTCGCGTGCTGCATGCCATGACTAGCTTTGGGATACAGTGCTCTGGTCAAATGCAGGCAGATACTCGCAGCAGAGAGAGATGGGCAAAGTAATTCACAGTCTCCGTTCCAACCGATCAAGCCCCGCTTCCTGTTGTCAGGACGGCAGTGACGCAGCCGCAACAAATCTGAGTTTGGGTTGCTTTCGTTCTCTTTGTTTGAGCTGCTGTTGCCGGATGAGTCGTCTTTGGAGCTCGGAAGGTGGAACAACTTGTCCAACAAGAAGTAGAACGCCAGGTCAAGCTTCTGCGCCAGCAGGACCTCGAGCTTGTGTTGACCTTCGTGAGGTGTCCGGCCTCGCGCATGATGCAAGGATGGCCATGCTTCCATGAATTGGCCACGGCGCTTGAGCAGAGAACAGCCGCAACAGCCGCAACAGCACTCATATGGAAGTCCCTCTGAGGGCATGCCATTCGGAAACTAGGCTCGCAAAATAACATCTGTTCGTTCTGCTTGGTTCCACACGGTCTGACGAGGAACCGAGCTTAACCCAGCTTGAGGTCATGTTTTTGCCGCACAAGCTGACCAGCAAAACCAGAGCACAGGTTGCTTGGATGCATCTTGGCCTATGGAGCACCAAAGAGCACCATCTCAATTTTCCGCTTTGATCAGTGGGGCGGGGGGCAGCTCGGCCAGGAGCTGCGGAGACGATGAAGTTGACCAGCGTAGCATCTCTGCCCCTACGAGAAGAGTCCTCGGAGGCAGTGCATGGCGAACTGGCGAACCATCTAGCGACGCTAGCGGGTGCTTTTTGTGATGCTCTTGCCCTGAAAGGACGAGTGCGAGGCCGATGGGGACCATGGAGGCTTGGGGCGCAGACTCATCGTCAGTCAGAATGTATGCAGTTGCTAGTGGGGCCTCGGAATCGAAAGTTGCATGCTAGTTTACGTTGCGCACACAGCATGCACATTTTTCATTTTCCATCTTTGCAGCATAGGCATGCATCGGCAGCCTCGTTGGGTAACCCCGCATGGTGGGTGATGGAAGGTGCAGCAGCCAGACTGCTCGCTCAGGCCACTTCCAAGCACTTTTTGGTGGGAAAGCTCCTACATCTCATTCGAGGCTGTGCCGCTGCGCTGCCTACAAAGCTACTAGTTGCATGTTGCGTGGGGTCGACAGGTCATCATCATTCTCAGAGCGGTCTAATGCGACACCTCCATCCGAAGATGCTGAGCCTCCAGGCACCGGTGCGAGCGAAAGCGCAGAGAAGCAAATAGCTTCGCTTGCCCTCACTGGAAGAACATCTTCTGGCGGTCTCGGCAGTCTACGAGACAGCAGTCACGCTTAGGTATCATCAGCAGAGTGACGATCGGAAACGTAAAAGCCATGCAGGCTTCAGCACGCAAGGATTTTCCGGAGTGGTGCAATCTGCAGATGGCTCTGGTGACCCTTTGTACCTTCAGTGGTCGCGAGGCTGGCCTCTTGCCTTTTCTGCGCTGTACAGTCTTCCATGTGTATGACAGCCTTCCATCTTCTGCAGAAATTTGATGCGCGCACACACACACACACACGCCCAAACCTTGCAACTAACCTGATGATTGCGGAACATGTCAACATCTTTGAGGCCAGTCACATCGAGAGAGACCATCGTTGACACCGACAGTCTCTCCTGTGACTCCACATGTGTCACCCAACGTCGGCGGAAACCAGCGAAGCTTGGTTCAAAGGTTTTGTTTGCTTTCCAGTACTCGGGGGAAAGGCCCGCCGTGGATAGAATGATTGTATGATGTGGCCAGCAAGGACAGGGCACGAAGCAAACAGTGGATTGTGGCTTGCTGAGGAGACTAGACTTCTTTCGCTGTAAGCGCAATGCGTGAATCCACCGGCAACTGTTCACAGGAAGGACAGTTTCAGTAGCTAACTAAGGTCATCAAGGAGATGCAGGAACCCCGCAGGCCAGGAGAATCTGCACCATGTGCGCAAAGCTGCCGCAAGCTTCGACTGTATCAACTAGCTGGATGATCTCTGCCAGGCGAAGTCTGCAGTTGTTTGTCGCCACTGGAAGTCGAAAGGCTGGTGCAGACTTGGGGATGAATGTCTTTTCCTTAGTGATCATCCAGACCATGGACAAGCTTCACATGTCGTCTGAATTCAAGGCAAGTTCGCCCATCCTGAACACAAGTGTGGAGCTGGGTCGCAGATGAAGAAGGCAAAGTGTGCAAACGCCTCAACAGAACAACTCCATCCAGCTTGTTGCACTTAGCAACTTCCCGTCCCCCCAGAGCCTGCTGCCATTGCAGGAAAAGGATCGATCGGTGACAAGCAGCAGCAGTGCATCACTCAGTTGCCAGTGCAGAGTTCTCGTTGGCTTTTCATTTCCGTGCCGGTATATGGAAGAACATGCTTTTTGAAGTGGTGAGGGTTTCTTGTTGTTGCGAGAAGGCTGCCCGAATTAATAACGCTGTCCACAACTGCTGGACCGTTCCTCCTTCGTTGTAATGCTACAAGGAAATGCCTAGAAAGGCCGATGACAGAATGCTGCAAAGACTCTAACGACCACAGAAACATCTACGGATGGATCTCCGCAGCTGTAATGGTCTTAAGAAGAGGTTTCGAGCCTGGCTGCACGGCGGGCACAGCCGAGAGACAGATGCGAGAGTGGGCAGGGCTCTTCTTGGGTGCAGTGCTGCAGCATATGTAAACTGAGAATCGGAGACTTCGCGGCAAAGCCAGGCCTGGTCCGACGGGTTTTGCCGGCTTCAGACGAAGGTTGGTCGTTCCCAGCCCCGTGAGGCAAAGTCGAGCAAGGGCAAAAAAGCAAAATGCATTGGCAAGGATCTCGAGGCCATGTTAATGCAAAAATCATGATGCAGTGAGGCAAGCCTGTTCAACGCTTCGTGCCAGGTCTTGTCAGAATCTCCAGCCCTCACCCCAGGAGCCAGCCTTCAGCCCTGGACATCTCGCATCGCAATCTTTCATGGTCGCAGGATTGGTCCAGGCCCACATCAGCCCATAGCAGGCAGCACCTTACATGTTTATGCTTTTCTGCAGTTTCATAAGTTTGTCGCTATGCGTACCCGCCTCGGCCGAATTTGCACTCGTGCAGGGTGTCAGTGTAGGACCGTAGGACTCAGGTGTCCCCACCTCCTTCTTCCCACCCCACAACAACAACAAAACAGCAAAGCAACTTTTTTAATTGGACGCTGCGCCAGCGTAGCGGTTGGTTTGAGTGAGGTCAGGGTTAGGTCGGGCTAGCTTAGGTTGGGTGTTGGTGGTCGGGGTTAGCTCTGTTAGGTGGGGTTAGGTTAGGTTGGGTTTCGTCTAGGCTGGGCGGATCTGGGTCAGGTGCACTGGGGTGTGGTTGGGCTGGGTAAGGTGTTTCGTCAGGTTGGGTTCAGCTTCCGGCGTGGGTTCGGTCAGGGTTGGGTTCGGTTAGGTTATGTGTTCGGGTCTGAGTCATGTCAGGTGGACCGGGGTTGGGTTGAGTAGGGTTAGGGCAGGTGGAAGTAGGGGGAGCGGCCGGTGAACTGTGAACCGGGTGCTGCTTCACAGAATTTTGGAGGTTAGTTCACTGAAAATGCGGTTTCAGTTCACCGATTTCGGTTCAGTAAATATGCGGTTGTCCACCGCCTTCACATGGAGAGCCGCATAAGAATTATGGCATTGCGGAATGAGGCGATCGGAACAATGACTCAGAGTCCGGGACTCCGCACGGACCCATGATCAGTGAGCAACTTCGGACTTAAGTACCGACGACGAACCGGAGACAAGTTCAGGCCACAGACGACAGTAGAATGCATTCCGATGCGCAATCCCTGTACCCGGGCCAGCAGGCTGTAATCTGCAGCAGCGGGCCGACACCAGTGAAGCGCTAACCATTCTTTGCAGACCTGAAAGGAGGAGCTACTTTCCCAACAAAAGCACCCGTTCCAACAACAAGTGAGTGTGCGCTCAACCCCGCTGTTAACACTGGAAATGCCATCACCAAGGAACCTAGAGTAGGGCCAATAGCTAGGTCAGTCAGCCGCAAAGCGAGGAGAAGTTTCACAAAGACAAGAGCGGCCGAACATTCTTGACTTCTACCGGCATGATTGGTGTGCTGCCTGACTGCGAGCTCGCCTTGAGACGAGACGTGATAAAGGACCACATCCCGTGTGCATGAGTAGGATGATTGCCCAGCTCAGACAGAAGAGCACGGTGATAGCTGGTAGGGCTTTGAACATCAGGAGCGAAGCTCCCTATCAGTTCTGACCACCAATTCTATGCTGAAAGTCAAGCAATTCGGGAGAGAAGCGAGAAGAAGTGGTAGTCCGTGTCCTGGCCTTATTCCTTGATCACTGCTGGCAGGCAATGAGCCGTTCTGTTGGTGCCGGCCACTAAACTGTGCTGGACACTGTTTTGCCAGATTGCGGAAGTGCCAAGTTTTGAGCATGAAGTGGTGCTCCGGTGAGCTGCCTTCTCTGCTGTACAACAATCTTCAAAAACTTACGCGGCTTGGGATATCAGCTGTCGGATGTGCCAGGGAGTATCTCCACCTGCTTCAGGGGAGTATCTCCTCCTCAGAAAGTGGAGTATCTCCTACCCGCCGCCTTGTCTATCCATCCTCTGGTGTTCCCAGAATCTGCTGCGCACGGTATGCCCTCTGCGACACTGCGAGGCTGAGCACGGAGTCTTCCGCATGGAAGATCTGTCTTCGTTGCTCGGCCGCCGCTTGGAATTATCCGCAGAGTGGCTCGCTGAGGTAGCATGCTGTTTAAAAAAGCGACTCCGTCTGGCGACATGCTTGGCCGATCTGGAGTGAACGGGCTATGTGAATTTCCTGATTGCCTTCCAGGCGAGACAGTGTTTGGAATGACTGAGCCAAGGTCGCAAGGCAATTCCTCCGATTCTTTTTGACCTCTTGCCATTTGTCAAATCCTCGAGGTGACGAGCAAGCTGTTTCACTTTTGCCCCTGGGAGTAGCTCCACCGCGAGCAGCAAAACATGTGCCGTGATCATATAGCCTGTAGTCTTCACTAGACTCTCTATGTTGGCCCTGAGCGAGGGATGTCTCCGTCTCAGTTGAACGGAGATGGTCAAAGTGCAGCGCGGCCAGCGTTGGGAGAAGCACAGCAGCAGGACCGATAAGTTTTGCCTCGTGCCTCATAGTTCCAATGGATCCTGGATGACTGTGAATGTCCGGGCTGGTAGGCTTGAAATGGCTGAGGAGGGCTGCAATTCTGTCGCTGTTCCTCTCGTGAAGGCTGCACGCAAATAGGAATGCTTGGTGAACTTGCTCTTTGAGGGCGGGCCTGTGTCCGAAAAATGGGAGCAGCTCTGGCATCCTCGACCTGGTACTCGGCGTGGGAGTGTCTCCTCATTGTGATCTGGCATGACTTTGTTCCTAGCCCTGCCAAAACATGTCCTATGGAACAATCTCTCTGCAACTTCTGTCCGACCACACGAGGCTGCGACGTGAAGATGTTGTCGATGTGTCCTGCGACGCTGTTTCCGACATGCGACTAGAGCACTGCTTACCTCTCTCGCAGCTGAGGCTTGCCGGAGGTTCAGCGGATTTCTGCTTGTGATGAGTGCTCGGGTGCAAGCGTACTGCAGAGGCCTCGAAAAAAATTGGAAGGGAGACAGAAAGGAGGAGTGAAGTAAATGAAACACAGCATCCTTGCGAGGAGGTTCTCCCCGCACGAGAGAAGGTCACGGATCTGCTTTGTCAGAGGCGACTGCTGCATGCCTTGGCGCTGGAAATCTACACTTGGGAGCCCAAATGCTACGTTATTTACAATGGCTCCCAACCAGTCAAGAAGTTCAGAGGATCTGGTTGAAAATTGGAAGAGAAAGACGGACTGGACCTCTGTGCCGTAATTGGCGTGGATGCTCGAAAGACTTTTATGTGGTCTGGATCGGTCTCCAAGCGTGCAAGGATGTGTCCTCGGCGTGACAGGATTTGGGAGGTGCTGAGGAGTTCTTCTAAGGACTCAATCACAGCTTGCTCATCCGGTGACCAATCCAGGAACGGCCACTCACCGTCTCGAGTCATCTGTCCCTTGGTGACAAGTTGCTCTCGCGCCTTGGTGTCGCTGGACACGATGAGTAGTCTGTCTTTTGGTTCTCGGAAAAAGGCGATTGTAAGTGCCGGTTTCGGCGTCGAGGGCGGAGCCATCTGGGGATTGAGTCGTTTGCTCACTTCGTGCAACCTCGGCAAGACAGTGTGCTCGTCGGTTTTGGCATAAGAAATAAAGCTCACATCCGTGGTTATGGCATTTAATGCTGATCGTTTCATAAAACCAGTTTTGCCATTGCTGTGACCAGGTCGCCCGTACCATCCCCCTTCCATGGGGCTGGGCGTCATTGCGATTTTTGTGTGGGGCCTACCACCGCCCTTGCCGCGTCCTTTTCATTCGGGAGCAGCTCCACCTCTCCGCCTCTTTAGGGGGGAACCTCCTCTTGAGGCTTCTCCTCGCTTCGGTGGTGGGCCATCACTCACTGCTGCATTCTGAAACAGAGCCTGCAGCGACATTGTGTTCCGGCTCTTATGCCTCTACATCGATGAGCCGCCTTCCTGCCGGCGAAGGAATACTATGTAGCTGTTACGCTGTATCAACGGATCCTCCAATGCAAACGAGATGGGCGTTTTGGAATCATCTCCCAGAAACCAAAGGCTGCCTTTACGAGGACTCGGTAGTGGCCCGTTTGAGGTGCCTCACCAAGTAAGATGGACCATGACTGAAGCAACCTCGAACTCCTGGCCCTGAAAGACCGGAACTTGTAAAGAGGATTCGATGCGAGTGGTCGTCCAAAATCAACTGTGCCGAACACATCGTGGAGCCCGGGGCTGAGGGTTGGGCCCGGGTTCGTTCGCCAGTCGACGAGGTGATGTTCGTCCTGGGAGAGCCTGGTGCCGGGCTCCTGACGAGCCTTTAGACTTGGCGATGTGGTAGGCGGTGCCAGCGTGTGGGGAGGGTCGGAGGTGGTTTTCCTTTGAGTAACGTGTTGAAACCAGCAGTGCAGCGTTTGTTAGGTAGCTCACGTGTGTGAGTAGGAAAAACCACCTGCAATCGACTGCCCAAAATTTCGTTTTCCCGCCCTCCTCTCCCTATTCGTTTAACCGATTCAGCCTCAAATACCTGCCGGCGGGCGGTCAAGGGGGGAAAAAAACATTTGGATCCAATTTGCCACCACAGCCCCGGCGGAGTTGGTCAGAAGACAGTACCGTTTTTGAGTTGTCAGGTTGTCTTCAGCTGGCAGCGAGCCAGCAGCAGCACAGCCGCTCTTTCGTTGATTCACCACCTCCCGCAGCATTGCTTCGGGCTTTTGTTCATATATGCCAATTCTGATTGCAGTGTTTGTCCGGATTGTATGATGCGACGGGAAGCCACATCAAGAAGCTGCACAAGTTAAGTGAAGCCAAAGGCTCACTGAGCAGCAGAAAGAACAGGTTTACAGAAACCATCTCCGGCTTTTCCCACACATGGATTTCATCAAACAAGTTAACAGCTGTTGCCAGCAGTTGATGTCGGAGGAGATTCTGCGCTGTCACGGAAGCGCCTGCAGAGATGAAATCCAGGGAAGTTGGTGAGCATTTGTGTGCGACCCACTGGACGGACGCAGAAGCTTCGATAGAGTCTGCATTGTCACACAGCAGGTCCCGTTTTATGTGTCCTCGACTCGAGCACTTATCCAGGGTAGTCCGACCCCGCTGTAGCATGTAACGAGCAAGAAGATAGCAGTTGGTATGAAGCATGCCATGATTGTCCAAAGGCTGACCGCTGTCTCTGGTTTGGTTGCTGATGTTTAGTTTGAAGATGCGAAAGCAAATCAAGCAGGATGAGTGCATGAACAGTTGTGTACCACTCCATGGAGAATGGCAGTTCGTGTCTGTTCTGTTTGATCAGTTCTTGGTAATCTGGACAGCGAGGTTCTGCTTCTTTGTTGTAGCGTGTGAGGCGAAGGCATGCAGCGCATGGTTTCTGGTGGGCCTTGCTGGCCGAAATGGTTTCGTCTGGCGGTGCAGGCGTGTGTCTGCAGGATCGGGAGGTTCAAGCTAAAACGGCATGCGGTATCACCCGACCAAGCCACTCTTGCAACAATGATCTTTCGTAGTCATGTAGCATTGGAACCAGCCAAACCTGGTATTGTACGTGCAAGACGCAGTGAATGATTCGATTGTTTCTAGTGATTCTAGTGAGTATAGGTCCCACAAGTAGATCAGAATCGAGTTTGTTAGCTATGAAAGGGAAAGATGGTTGCACGAACTGCATCAAGCTTTGTGTGAATACGCAGACCATGGCGCTGCAGTGCTTTGTGCCATGGGCAGCACGTGACGCCATTTCTCTGTGCCTCTCCGATGCGTGTCAGTTCGGGACACTCCTTGCTGAACATGTTTGCAAGCATCCGAGTGTAGCTCACTGGATGGTGCTTGCTGAATCAAAGCCCTGGCACGGGGCGGACAAGTCCCGATTCGGAGAGAAGGCGTTGCCAGCGGTGATGGCCGTAGGGCTGGCAAGCACTACTGGCTCGATGTGGTACAGCAGCACATCTTGGTCGGATGTATTGGGAATACTGTTCCCATCCTCGTCATGGCAGATTTCCATTGTGATGGGTAGTCTTGCCTGCCTTTCGTCCGTATGCTTCCTTCATTGCCAAGCCACTGTGGTCAGCTGCAGAGGAGATCTGAGCACCGACAATCAAGGGAGGCTTCTGGCCAGCAGTGCCGCAATATACGCGAATCTTACATTCATGCCAGTCTTGGCGCATGCTTGTGCACTCCATCCCCAGTTAAAGCTGCTGTTGCTGATCAACAAGCTTTTCTTTGCTGTTGGAACTTTCCAATTCCGAGACAGCATACGTCGAGCAGGAGGCGACCTGATCAAGACTAGAGCCTTGTCTGACCGCCCGCGCAGGACGCTGTCCCATTTTGTTTGGCAGGAGTTTGAGGTTTGCATCGAAACAGCATGCGCTGCTCTGTTAATTGATGCTCCTGCATCAGCAAACAAGGCAGTTCTGGCAAATGCGTGCAGCAGGGTAAGCGCCACATTCGGGGTCGCATGGTTGTTTTGGTGGCCGAGGGGCTTCTTCGAGATTCCGTGGTTCGGAGCTGCAGAGCTTTTTTGAACAATGGCTGGCAGAGGTAGATGTACTTTGGAGTTGGAGTGCTGAAAGTTGCACACCTCAGTGACCTAGGCATCCTGCGCTTCTGCACATGATGAGAAAGTCCGGCAAATAAGCGAGCGACGTTGACGCTTCAGCACATGCATGACCTGCGCCACATGTTTGGTTTTCTTCGAGGCTCAAAGGGGCTACGGGCTGTCATTGACGGACTCAAGCAATCTCACGCAGAAGGTGCTGCGGTAGCAGAAGTTGGTGAATCATTCAACTACTAGTTGCGGTATTGGCAGCACGGCAAAGCACGCTCTGATAGCAGTGCGTCTCCCAACACGTCCTGACACTGAAGGCTGACACGAGCCGGCTAGAGGTGATAACTCCCATTTCTTTGGCACTTCCCCTGCTGGTAGTTCGTTTTCATGGCGAGACCGGGGCAAGCCATCTGCTCAAGAGTCGTTCGGACATGCGAGCCCTAAACATGTACGGTTTCGATGCTGTTGCAACCCGAGGGCAATGGAAGCGATTTGGCATTTCCTGGGCTGTACTTCGATTGACAAAGCCGACCGCACTGACAAGGATGCATCGGACATGTGCCGGGCTCGGATTGGAGTCGATTGATTTGTAAACTTTACACGATTTTTTTTTTCAATCCTTTGCCCATGAATGTCATCCTTGCGCCCGCTATTGCCCATTGCTCAGATCATGATCATGTTGGCGTTTATCCTCTGCCTGATCCAAGGCAGCTCAGTGCCTTTGAGTTCCGACACTACCGAACAAGTCTGGAGCATAATCAGCAGAAGTTGGTCGAGAGAGTTGTGAACCAATGGGTTGCAATGCTGGTGAAGGCAGCAGGAACACTGAACTGATTGAGTCATGATGTTTTGGGGTTACATCGTGCGACAAACCAATTCCCCCTCAGGGCATCGTGATCAGGGTCAACGGGTTTGAGGAGAAGACCTTCCTTGACAAGGATTTGCTGAATTTGGAACTGAGTGACGAGCTCTATCCGCTGGATGCATTGTGTCGAATGACGATGCGCAAAGAGTCCGACGATGTGGTCATGAATGTCCCGTGGATCCTAGATCTCAACTTCGATTTCGAAGAGGGTGAGGCGGTGTTGTCGTTCAGCTTTGAGCAAGAGCGCCATCGGCTTCAATTTGCATTGATGCTGCGGATCTTGCGCACGCGCAATCCTCGCTTGAATCTTGCCGGCACGCTTCTCGTCAAAACAAGACAGTGGCCAAGCACGTGAGCGAAAGTCAAATTAAATCAGCAATCCAGATGTAGGAGGGGTCTCAAGCTTGATTAATATTCCATTGCGTTGCAACATGTTGCAACAGTCAGCCCTGTACATGTGATTGCCATGTATGCCGTTTCGTGCCACAGCAATGCAGGTTTGAAGTCGTGAACGAAGACGACGATGATGAAGACGACCCGGCAGTGTCGAATTTCAATAGGATTGCCAGGACCTCGGCACAAGCAGTGGCCTGAAGTAGCACTGTTGCTAAGCGGGGATGCTCAGGTTGGTTCCACGCGGTTTGATGTTCAAGGAACGGGCATCTCGGTCATCATCAGTGTGGGCTCATTGAACATCCACCAGCATCTTCGATGCAACAATCGGCACGTCTACTTGGAGTTATTCTCTGACTATCCGCGAAGGGACAAGTTTCTCTACGCGAAGTCAAGCTACAACAATCTTCCGGGGGCCGTTTTGCTGGGAGAAAATGACATGAAGAACGGTCGAAAGGAGATGGACAACGCAGATCAAGCCGACGGCCGGAAGGGTAAGAAGTCTGATCAGCATCTTTGTACAATCAATTTTGACTTGAAGAATGTGAAGCTGAAGATTCCCAAAGTTCCATTTACAGTACATGGCCGCCTGATGGTGAAGGACGACTTCTTTCCTTCAGTTGTGGCGACTTTTGAGCTTCCGATCTCGAAGGCTCATTTACAGGACCTACGCGAGTCTGCAGAAAAGCAGGCAAAGCAGCCAGAAGCTGTTGAAGTGCCTTTGTTTCTCGGTGTCAAGGTTAAGCACATGTCAGAGAAATCGCTGATAGGGGGCAAAACCATGCCTCCTACTCCGAGGGATCGCCCGGAGCATGAACGCTTCCATGTTTCGCCTAAATGAGTAGAAGCAGCAAGATCGTGGAATTGGCAAGGCGATTTGTTGCACGGCGAGCTTTCGATCTCATGCTCGGTGCTAGAGGGGGTGGACCTCTTCACTCGTAGACGGATGACTTGTAATCCGGACAAAGCTCAACCCTTCGACGCACGCGGAACCCGAAGGAAACAGTGCTTCAGAGATGCGCAAACCTGCCAGAGGAAAGGACCAGGTGCTGAGAAGGATCCTGGACGTGCCCTGCTTGCCGTCCATGGGATGTTGCCAGAGGGAGACTCAGCGCCAGCGTGAGTCTTCACATCATGGACCTCCGCGAAGGCTGAGCAGCGAAGGTCGCGGCCGGTACCATCGGATACATGTAAGACTACAATTCGAAGCAGGCAAAACAGGGAGACTCTTTCGAGCTCGACATGGACATGTGTGGAGCCAGAGGCCTTGTAAATAGTCAAAACAGCAACAGTAGCGATGTCTGCATCAGAGACCAAGTGGAATCGATCTTGGCCAGTGGTGCTACCGTGTTAACTTGATAGGCAAAGGCAGCATCGGAAGAACCGTTGCAAATGTTTTTGGTGCAACTTGCTTCAAGAGGTATGTTTAGATTTGCAATGCCGTAGCAGAGATTTGCCGTCTTCTTGTAGCGCAGTCCTAACTGAGTTTTCGCCAGCACATGGCCTAAAACAAGCCAGGTAACACAAAGCTCCCGACTCGTCTCTGCTGTGGCATGAGCTCTCCAGGGCAGACTCAGACCCCGCCCCGGCCAGAACTCCAAGCTTGTCAGGAATAGCCGACTTGCATTTATCGCACTCCTTGACTTGTTGGGTCTCAGCAGGCAAGCGCCGAGAACATCAGTACATTCGCATGGAGCTGAGGCTTCGAAGTTCGAAACATTCCGATGGGCCGCAAGAGATTGCAAGCTTACAGGTGCGTTTTCTAGGCACCCTGGCTTTTTTGACAGCGGTGAACATTGGGGGCTCGGTGCAACCGCTTCGCCGCACCCTCGTTCTCTCTCCCAGGCTTCGTGACTGAAGAAAACACCAGAAAGAAGCAGACAACCAACAGCGGTCTGGATGCAACCGTGTTGTTGCTGGTTGGAGTGCTTTCTTGGCAGACGACTCAGCTCGTTGTGCAGCAAAGGCAAGGGCAACAACGAAGCGTCAAGAGAAGCAGCTTGACACACAGTAGTCTTTCACAGTTTGATTTCCATCTCATGGATTGTCGACAGCATTTAGGTTCGCAGGCTCTCCGCTTTCACACGAACTGATATCAGCGGTTGATCGTGAGGATACTTCCAGTGAAGAGGAGGACGACGAGGAGGAGGGTGAAGAAGAGGAGGAAGAGGACGACGAGGAAGCCGAGAGCGAGGAGAGAGGCAGCACGGCATCGTTCGAATAAGACATTGTTTGCCATTTCTGTGTTTGATTTGCCTCGGAGGCAGTGGGTACCAAGAAAGCTCCAATGCAGGCAGTCAGCAGTCCAGTGCTACAGCGTCAAGCAGGTAGCGGAAGTCAGTGTCGACAGCGGCAATGCCGCAGCCACCACGAGAAGTTTCACCATCCGCAGGCTTTCCCAGCCGGGGGCATGCAAAGCATCGCTCGGCGAGGTGGACGGGAGGAAAAGATGGTGCAATCGGCGTGTACAGCCTGCACGGCAACGGCAGCTTCCTTCGGCTCCGGCTCCGCGACATGTTGCTACACACATGCAATGATGAGGCTCCAAGCAGCCGTACGAAGCGCACATGCAGTTCACGAGACAGTCGTGTCTTGCAAACAGCTCCGGGGTAAGTGTAATTTCACAAAAGTAGTTTGGGGCTTGAGCATTGGCGTTGTTATGGGTGCACGACCATCGGGCGCACGTGTCGGAAGCACCGAAGATCCAAGCCAAACTCAGGCACGGTTTGCCTGGTTCGCTTCAGAGGGGCATCTAACCGGCTCTGTGATATTTCGTGCGCATGCCCCAGGACGATACAAACGTGGTCCTGGAGGCCTTGTTATGCACCGTCACTTGTGGAAGCCTGCGTTAGAAAGCGAAGCAGGATCGGTCTGTGAGCACGGTTGCCTTGTGCCTGCAGGTCGTAAACAACTCCGGATTGAGGCCCTAGTGTGCAGCAGCGGGAAATGTCTGTTCCACGTTGTTTGGAAACCAAGGTTGCACAGATCTCACGTCGACCCTGTGGAATTTGCACTTTCGATTCTTGCCCGCCAAAAAGAGGGTCTTGACCGAGAGAAAGATTGGTGGAGACACAGCTGTACAATCACACTTAATCATATTTTGGCTGAGGCTACCTGAAGTTCTGTCTTCAACGCATACTCTCATCCTTCAAGATGTTGGACAGCAGGAGGCTTGCAGAGCTTAGGGCATGCTCTGCTGAACTGAGACAGGTGCTGAGACGCTTGCAATGCTGCGAGGTCTTCATCAACTACACGAGCTGCCAACCTCGTCCAAGTCCGCAGGAGGGGGTTAAGTGCTTGTCAACGAGCTCAGGGCTTTGCGAATTTGAGTAATTCACCAAGCACTGTGGTAACACACACGGGGTTCTTGCGGGCAGTAGGAGATGTTAGCGGGAAGGGGATTTGGTGGCTTGATGACCCATGCCGCGCTTCACCACGCGCGCACTGCGCTCGGGGTGCTTCCGCTGCTACCGCTGTGGTGCAGTGCACAGATTCGACAAACAACGCGTTCTGTTCCACGACTGCGGCCACGTCCGCGGGGATGCCGATTTCATCGTGAAAACCATTGCTTTGGTGCTGCACGGTTCTTGGGTACCCAAAGATGAACTCCTAGGTGCTGTTTCTATGCCAGCTTTACTTTAGATTCCTTTGCTCCTATGCAAGGACGGCAGCCTGCGCAATCCTCACCTGACAGAGAAGTGCATCGCCGCCCCGATGATCCTTTCAATCTATGTTGCGATTGCAGATGGTGGACTGCGAGCGTTTGTACTCGGGGGTGTCCACCGAGTAGACATCGCTGCGACTTTCAAGCGATTGCCAGAGCATGCTGACGAGTTGCGAAAGTTGGCGAACCGACAGGGTTCGTTGGGATTCTGCTCTTGGGAACAACGGCTGGCTCCAAGGAGTGCAGTGCTGGCTCTTACAGAACCAGTGCCGGGCATATCGCAGCAGCGAGCTGCACTGTTAGATGCTCTTCAAGGAGCACAGGCAGGGGCCGCCGGGGCTGGCGCCGTCTACGAAAGTCAGCTGAGGAACGAAGTCCGTTCCACAACTCTGCAGTCGGACATGCGGGAACCTGCAGCACAACAAGCTGCAAAGAGTACCTTCACAGAACCCGGCGATTCGAAGGTCTCCTCATCTCTGTGTTTCATGCCGCGTTGGCCAGTATGTACGATTGAATGTGTTGTTGCTGTTGGGTGTTGGTGGAGACTTGCACCGTGTAAGGTTGCCGTTCAACTAGGCCGCCAGTCCTCGCCACTCGGATTGTCAAGTGGCCGCATGAGTGCTTCCGGGGCCGCTCGAGGAGTGACTTGCTGGGCCTGGGAGGTTGGCAGCTGCATCCGAGGACTCCAGCGGCGACACACAGGCACATCGCCAAGAGCGGACTTCAAAGCAGATGGCTCCAGTTCAGAAGGCCTCCACAGAAGAAGGCAGTGTGCCTAGCGGAGTTGGTCCATCTAAGCAAGTCAAAGGGCAGATCCAGTCAAAACAGAATGCATGTCAATGCAAGAGCCGCTAGGCAAGCCTTCGGAAGAATCCTCACGTGCCTCCTTGGCACCAACTGGACTTCAGCCCAGCAGCGCTCGCCTTCACGAGAGTGACAACGGGTTTCACGCAGCAGTGTCTTGGCCGGACTGCATGCATCTCAAGATCCGACTTCGATGTGTCTTTATGATGATTGTTTTGCGACCTTTCGAGAAAGTCGTTGCATGCCAGCTTGAGCTCGGATCAGGGGGTAGACCGCCGCAAGTGCGCTCATACGTTTGTCAGCTCAGGAAGCTGGCCAAGCTGTCAGTGCCACAGCCCAAAAGGCACCCTTCGAAGCAGTAATCGCATCTTGTTAGTCTTGAAACTTAATCACAAAGCAACAAAGCGGCTGCCAGGATGCCGGCCGGTCCCGCACCGGTGCGCTGGCTCTACAAGTGCAGCAGGCAATGAAGGAGAGGCTCGAGAAGGAGGAAGAAGAAAGACGCTTGCAGCGGGAAGAGGAACAACTGAAGGCCTGACGATCATTGCCTTTCCTTCACAGCCCCACTGCTCCTGACAACCAGGCGAATTGTTCCGCGGTCATCGCCTCGCAAGACAGCGAATATCAAAGGCTTTTCTTCGTTCTTTGCATTTCTTTGTGACCACTGGAGAGTTCAATTGCGTGCATTTATCGAGGAGCCTTTTGCATGATCAAGTCCGAGATTTACAGAAGGACAGCAGGGAACTCATGTAGCTGCGCCATCTTGTTTTGTTTGTCTTTGTGTGTCTTCTCGAGACCAATACTTGGACACGCGCTTGTGCCCAGTTCCTCTCCTCTGCTCCCTACTCCCTTTTCTCTTCCTACCAGGTCCGACCATGTACAACTGTCGATGGTGGTTGCGGTGGCGACAGTAGTCATGAGACGGAGCCCCAGAAGGCAAGAACGATGAACAAAAGACCGAAGGACAAAACACATCTGACAGAAAAATGTCCGACCAAGACAAAGAAAGATTCCACTGACGGCGGAAAGGCAAGAAGCGGGACCATACTGACAATTGCTTAAAAACGAGGGCATGAATAGGTTTTGCACGACTCGGGTTTAGTAACAAACCGAGTGTTATAGCATTTCGAGCATCAACGACAATCTGACGGTAACATCGAGCACCACTGCAGCAAGACTAGATTCAGCAATGAGATGTCCCAGCTTGCTTGATGTCAGAGCTTCGAGGCTTGGGATTCCACGACGCCAGAATGCAGCAGGAGACTGCTTGGAGCAGCGCAATCAACAGCATCAATCAAACCCAGCAGCGGAGCAGACACAGACCATCACAGCATAATCAAGCCTTTCCAACTGTCCCCAGAGAGGGTCAGGAACAGCGAGTCTCAGATGATGATGTTCAAGGTCGGCCGTATGGTGATCAAGGGAAGCAGGACGGGTTGGAGATTCGGAGTGACTTTCAGGCTTTAGGCGCGAATAGTGCGCAAGCCCCCAATGATGATGATGATGATGATGATGATGAGCTCGGCCATGGCCCATTGTCCTTTGCATGTGCACTTGATCACACCTACAAGAAGGATTGCATCAATTGCCAGGGGGCTCGGGGACATCGGCGAGCCCACTACAAAATTCCAACAGAGCATCTCAGCACTGGAGTGGTCAGTTTTGACTTGTCGGGTCCACATGTTCTGGCTAAGGACAAATCCCGAAAACTTTCTAGTTGGAGCCCTGGTTAACAGTGACAAGTTGACTGTTCCGTATGTTCGGGCACAAGAATCCAAAAGAGCTGCGGAGACTCTGGAAAACATGAAAAGCATTCTGCTTCAGGTCCGTGCCGAGGCGGATAATCCAGAAGTCATTGTCAAGGTACACTCCGATGGGGCTAAGGTGGTTGATGCTCTCCATAAAGATGCTGTGTGGAACACCATTTCAGCTGCATGCGAGCCGGAATCCAACGGGAGGGCTGAGAGACAAGTACAAGCCATCAAAGAGCGAGCAACTAGTATGATTCTGCATGCTGACATGCCTCGTTCTTTCTGGTCGTATGCGGTGCGACAGGGCCTTTATGAGTTGCGGTTGGAAGCTTTAGGAGTGGCTTCAAGACGATTATGATGTTGTGTGCAGTGCCCTACATGGTTTCCAATGAGTCATTCAAACAATTGAAGCTTGTCGTCCTTTGTGAAACCATTCCAGAAACATGGTTGGCGCGAGTCCGGAGGCTTCTAGCTTAAAGCTGTGGGCTTCGGGAGTGCCTCTTGTTTCTGTCCTGGTTGAGTCGCGGCAACCAGATGCAAAAGGAGTGGCGAAGCCTATCGGAACTCCTACCTTTGGAGAGCCGGTGGCAGTCAGATTGCATGCTCCAGAGGCTTTTGCTCCGAGGGTGTGTGAAGGAGTAGTAGTACTAGCAGGAGTAGTAGTAGTAGTAGTAGTAGTCGTAGTAGTAGTAGTAGTAGTAGTAGTAGCAGCGGCAATAGTAAAATCAATAGTACGCATAGTAATGATAATTTAATCATAATAAGCATAGCA